GGGGGGGGATGTAATTCTTAAATTTAAAAAATAGAATCACAAAAGTGTACCAAAACATAATTATTTTCAAGCAATATTGACATTGAGTGAAACTACAACTCGCCCCAGTTTCAAGCTGGTTTAAAAGAAAGTTTTTCTCATATTCAAGTACATTAGGATCTAAATGTATTAATATAATCAAACACAGTTAAAGAGTTTAGTTGTAAAAGTTTACTTTTTTTACAGTTTTACTTTGATTGGTTTGCACAGTAAAACAGATACAACTCATGGCATGCAATAATTCATTTGATTTCATGACATGATCATCGCAAGGCTTATGTCAGTAATTAATTATTTATAGGCTTACTCATCAAACAGTTATTACAAAACACAAAATTTGTCATTATGTTTAAATCACATGCCACCTCTTTGAATAAAAAAACCCAGCAAACTCAGCCGAGGCGGCCCTCGCCGTCTAGAGGTTAAGGTGTTCGACAGTTCGCCTCTCATTCAATAGGTCCCAGGTTCGAACCCGGAGAGCGGCAGAAAATTTCTAAAAAATGTTCACCTTTCACATCCTTTCCTGCTCTCTAACAATGTTTTGTCGTCTGCTTTCGTCACCACTTTCTACCTCCATCCCCTCACCTCCTTTGCCCCCTCCTCTGGGCTTCTGACTCTTTCTGCAGCCTTTCTAATGCTACTAACTCCTTGGCTCTTTCTTATTGCTGTCTTTCAGCCACACTCCTGATCTCACGGTAGGTAGGATCTACACCTAGCCTTCTTGGACAAGGCTGAAAAATCTCGGAGGTCCCACGTGCAAGATGCGCACGTTAAAGATCCCATGGTGGTTCAAAATCATTAACAGTAGGCTTCAGCCACCACCCATGCAAAATTCAAATTTCCTACCAACTGAAAATGTTTAATGTGTATCGTGCGCTCATATGACCTTAAGCAGTTGCGAGCACCGTAAAACACATACCCCCCTAAAACTCATCTGATAAATAATACAGTTGCTAGTTTAATGTGTATGTATGTGTGTGCATGTGTTGTGTGTGTGAGGTTAAACACCAAACCAATATCCCAGCATTTGGACAATTTTATAAAGATTTATTTATCTTATCTTAATATTCCTAATGAATGTAAGATACCGTTTTAGTGCTTTCTCTATACATATTATTCAGCATTAGGCTACATTTCCTCACTTATAAACAAAACTTACAGACTACACACGGATGTCGGAATGACTCAAAATCCTCTTATTCCAGAGCTCCTCGCTTTTATTCTACATTTATCAATACATGTATTGGTTTCAAACATCTTCTTGAATTAAAGAAAGCATGCCATCTATTGTGTCTATAGTGTGAACAGTTTGGTCCCTTTCCCAATACAAAGTCCAGCTTTAGAAAAATGCAAGTAGACATTTATCAGCAAGGTCATAACAGTGATGGTATCAAAGTATCTCTACATTTTTCGATATATCCCTCAGCATTCACATGAATGCCTCATGAATATTCAAATAAATAATAATGTTACTGCATTTAGGAGGTTACATACCCATCTCCCTTTGTCTTCTACTGCTTTAAAGTTCAAGCATCATGTAAAGAGCTGCATTAATCTAAGACATAGCTCAGGAGTACATGAAGGTTTGTATCTGAGTATAAAAGGCAGAGTTATCCAAAGATACTCAATGACAGTGTTCTCAGTAGTGGTGGGCAGTTCCCGATTATTGCAATTTACAGGAATCGCAGGAATCGAGTCCGAACCCAATTTCTTTTCACTGATGGGATTTCTTCCGGGTGTCCATGATTTTTTACAATGGTTCTGACACCAAGGCAATTACATGACTACCACCGGCAAATAGCAATTATCTCCGATGAGTCCAACACCTAACCAGTTCTGGTTACCTGGTCGGCTTCAAGCAGCTTCAGGATAACCTCGATTTCGAAACACGGTGAGGCATCAACAAGTTTTTTAAAATGATTTTTTAATAAAAAGAAGAAAATCTTAAATAAATAAAGTATTTTGAAAATCGTTGGTTTATTTAAAATGGAATCGGAAATTTTTTCTGAAGCACTAATCGCAAGAATCGGTTCCGGAATCGATTCTTCGCTCAGTTCTAGTTCTCAGTATGGTGTTCTATTTTTTGGGCCAAAATTTAACGGTTACATGTATATTAAATCTGTACACATATGTGTGGCATCGTGGTGAAATCAGGCGCTTGCCAAAATAAAGAAATTGAAAAAAAACCTCGTACATTTTTACCCGTTGAGCAATTTTTATCAGACTTTTTTTTTTACTCAACATTTTTTATGTCCATTTAAACATACACTACATTTCTTAACATGTGGGTGTTAATGAAAAATGACAGGCATCATCATGAAATCAGGTGCTCATCAAAATAAAGAATTCGAAGAAACTGGCATTTTTTTTCTTCTCTGTTTGGCAATTCTTATCGACATTTTTTATTTTTTTACTCAACACCTTTCATGTTAATTTAAAAACAGTTGTGAGTTGATTTTACAGAGAAACGTTGATTTAAAGCACAGAGTAAATATGCAGTCCCCAAACTATGGTGGCCATTTTCTTGATAATTTAATCTCTGAAACAAGGCGACCCCTCTTCCTTCAATCTCTAATATCTTGATTTCTATTCAAGATGAAAATGGAATACAGAACAAGCTTCAAGATGACACTTATAACAACTCCACATGTAAAAAAATTGACAAACTTCGGCTGCCATTTTCAAGCTAATTTTTCATCTGATATGAGGGACATAAATTTTTTAAGTAATCGAAGCACAAAAATAAATTATCTCATTTACAGCCAACTAAAGTTCACAGTGACTACATTCACTATATATATATATATATAGTTCGCAGGCTATGTTCACACGGCCCTGAATGTAGTTTTTATATATTATTGCAATTTAAGAATTATCTTGTTCACTTCAACCCCTACCCTTTTTGCTTTTACTTCTTATATTTTTCATCCCTTCCCACCCTTCTTCCCGCCTTGGCCTTCTTCCATTCTCCCTTGTTTCTTTTTAAACGACTTTTATTTTCAAATTGTCGATCGTTGCCGGGTCCACTCACGGGAAGAGGATCGAAGTCGTGTTCTGCAAGCTGAGCGAGCGAGGCCTCGTCGACAGTGGCTGTTTTGTTGTGCCCACCTTTGCCCTCTTTTAACTCCATTGCATTCGGACCACCACTGCATTACTTTTCACAGGAGCATTCCTGTGTTGTTTCCTCATTCACTTTGAGGAACCGTAGCGTTTAAGTGGAAGGACTTCTGAAACGATTGACCACCCCAACAAAGAAGAGACCTAACCTTAACCCTCTGTTCTACTCTGTCTCAAATGGTTGCTCGTTACGAAAGTCCTCACGTTTCAGGTAAGAGCCAGTAGGTAGTGGATGATTCACATTCAGGGTGCTGTGAACGTAGACCGCAAACTATGTTTACGGCGCAGTGAAAGTCACTGCGACCAAGGTTTCATCTGTCAGAATCATGGCAAGGCAGGGCCCTAGATCAAGAAGAATACCAGCAGTGGCAATGTTAGTAGATCTAGAAATCTAGATATATATCTATATCTATATATCTAGATCTAGTTAGATTTTATTTCAACAAGTTGCACTTGTTACCTAGGGTTACCTAGGCTAGATTTATAGCAGAACATTATGTCGACCATTACATCCAAAAGCCAAAGAAAGACATTCAAGCCATGAATGGTGGCAACAAAAGTTAAATGATGCAACACTCACGTTTTATCCTTTCTTCACTTCACGTTTCACAATCGTATTTGATGCCGCATTGATGGGGGTTGATGAAGACTACACTACAGTAGAAACCACAGCAACGAAGAATGGGACGGGGAGAATATTACATTGTTTGAATATAGATTAATCGATGAAAACAACTTCCCTTTAAAATTTCAAAAGAAAGACAGCCAAAGAGAGTCTATGTTCACCTTTAAAAATTTCAACAAGTTTCAGGAACACTGAGAATGTACTTTTTACTTTTACTTTCGTTATTGTGACTTGTGACTTCCGAGAAAGGTTAAATAATTTCCATGCACTGAAGAGTTTACTGTGGGGAGCATCATTCAGCAAGCTTCTTTCCTATGCATTAGTACTTCAAAAGAAGAAAGAAAGAAGAAAAAATAATTACATCTATTATGGGGAGCCTACAATATTTTTTACTGTAATTTCTACTACGGAGAACTGCAAATAAAATATATTTGGTTTGTTTTGTCGTTTTTGTAGAACTATCTTTAACAAGAAGTCTTTTGACTAAAAACAGCAACTTCCGTGTTTCTCTTTGTAAATTGTAACTGGTGTGTCTGTGTGTTGTCCGGTGTGTTTTGGTTGATTTAACTGTTCGGCCATCGGTAATAACTGTTATTCCCCTGCATTTAAGAAAATTTCAAGTAAAGTTTCTACAGCCATTGTATTTAGGTTGTTTGTCATTGTGATAGTGGCGTGAAAACTGAGTAAACACAGTAATTTATCAGAAATGGCTAGCCCCGCCGGACCCGGTGCCGCCGGTGGTGCTGCTGCTGCTGCTGCTGCTCCTGTCCCTGAGGCGACTGCTGCCGCGCTTAGGACGGTAGTTTCTGCTCTGGAGTGCATCATGGATCTGTCTGCAACGAATGAACAGCGACAAGCTGCTCATACGGTAATAAATTTTGGAAGTCTTCAGGTGATCTTGTAGTTCCCTTCGTAGTCCACGATCCATTTGTTTACATCCAGGCCAAAAGCAAAGAGTTTCAAAGACTATCATAAGACATTAGAAGAAATCAGTAGATCGGAAGCTATTCTCCGGCGTCAGGCTGCCGGTCTATTACCTATCATCATCATCATCAATATGCCTTTCACCCCTGGCAGGGTATAGGCCACATACAAGCTCCTTCCATTTATCTCTGTCCCGAGCCATCCTTCCAACCACGATCCAAGTGAGCTTCATTATTTTCTCTCATGTCCCTTTCCACGCATCTCCTCCATGTTTCCCGTGGCCTACCCCTGACTCCTGCTCCTTGTGGGTTCTACTGCAGTGACTGTCTTGTGATGTTTCCGCTGGGCTTTCTTAAGGTGTGTCCCATCCATCGCCACTTTCTTAGTCCTATTTCTACTGCTATATCCTTTTGTCCTGTCCTTTTCCACAGCTCTTCATTTCTTATTCTATCCTGCCACTTAATTCTTAGAATACTCCTCATACATCTGTTGATAAAAGTCTGGACTTTATTCAGTAGTGTCTTCGTTGTCTTCCAAGTTTCGCAGCCATAGAGGAGCACAGACTTGACGTTGGAGTTAAAGAGTCGAATCTTGGTGCGCAGTGAATGTTGCTTGCTTTCCAGACTTTTGATAATTGCTTGAAGGCTGACCTTGCCTTGGCGGTTCTTGCTTTAACATCTGCCTCGGTTCCACCTTTACCATCGATGACACTTCCAAGGTAGGTAAAGGAGTCCACTTCTTCCAGGGGAGTGTCTTCCACTGTCACAGCAGGGCTTGAAACTTTTCCTAGCTTCACTACTTTTGACTTGCCTGGATGTATACGTAGGCCAACACTCCTTGATAGGCTGTTGAGTTCCTTGGTCTTTTCTTGCGTCTGAGCATGTGTGTGAGAAAGCAGTGCAAGGTCATCGGCGAAGTCCAAGTCGTCCAGCTGCTGCCAAGGGATCCATTGTATTCCATTACGTTTGCCTCTGGTGGCTTCTTTCATGACCCCCTATTACCTCTATGAATTACAATGTATTTGTCGGCGCAGATTTTGAGATAATAACTAGATCTCTAGGCCTAGTAAGCCTACCTTTAAATATATTTTATCTATGATAATTGTCTAACGTAACTTTATTCATTTATTTGGGTCGTCAATTTGCTTATTAAATTTTAAAATAATTATTCTGTTTCTTTTTAAAACGAACAAAATTTATTTTGTTTCTGAAATCATGTCTAGTCATTTAGTATAGCTTGCTGTTTAACTTATCTCTTCTTGTTATAATTTTCGATAAATTTAACTGATATTTTGCGACTTCAGTGCTTTCTTGTCGTATCTCCGTTTTTGTAAACCGTGAAAATGTAACTTCTTCGTATGTTCTCTCTTTGTTATGAACTCGCGTCACCTAACATAATTCTAGATTAGAGGAATTGAGGCAGTTTGTTTCTGAAAACCTATCGTCTATATCAATGGAAGTGGCCCGAAGTGGTGAAGTTATGGGAATTTTTTCCCAAGACAAACAGATGAGAGAGGTACGGTATTTACAAATCTGCACCGACAGATTATTAGTAATAGCCTGGCGACGTGACGCCGGAGAATAGCTTCCGATCTATTGACCGCGCGATGCCGGAGAATAGCCACTTAAGTTTGCTATTTTTATTAGGTCAGGGCCTGAAACCCCCCTACTCTTGACTCTTGGGGTCTAAACAAGCGAATAATAATTGGGGGGACTGCCGAAAAAAGCGCCATTCTTTGCTTGACTTTTGATTTTCTCTGGCTTTAGTGTTTCCTTCCAGTCTCATGCTTAGTTCACTCCTCAACGATCACCTGGCAATTTAGGGTCTCTGGCGTTCAGCTTTGGACTTCAACGAACGAAACTTCAAAATCACCAACCAGTCTTCCTGTCACTCAGATCATGATCAACCCAGCCCAATAACTAAACAGTCGGTTCTTTTTTTTTAACCTCCAAACAGTTACTGCACAGTTATACTACACAACACATCATGTCATAAAAGTAGTTAATAGTCCAAATTTACATTTACCAGAGAAAAAGCATACTTCTACAGTCTACAGGCTGGCTCAGTTTTTCAGTCACGACTCACTAGATCTCTAGACACCTTTACCTTCTTTGCTCTTTTCACTAAATGAAGAAATTCCTGTTTTTTAGCTGCCTGTAAAGAAAGGGAGTGTCTAGAAATTAGTAAAAATCTAGATTCTAGTAGACTACGCCCGCAGTTGTGTACATCAACAAATTTTGCGCTATACACACACGCAATTGCGTGAACCAACACATTTTTTTGCTATAATACGCTCACAATTGCGTGAACCAACACATTTTTTTGCTATAATACGCTCACAATTGCAGGCACCAAAACATCTTTTTTTGCCAAACGCGCGCAATTGCGTGCAAAGTATCGTGCTTTGCCATACAATTCCGTTAATTTCCCTCTTCTTTAAGTTTGCCCCTCAGAATTATGTTTCCCGTTTTCTGTCGCTCGTCCAAACGTGCTTAGTTAGTAAAGTAAAGACGAGAGGATAAGAATTGATAAATAACCCGAGTCTTCACTCTTGTACCTAATTCTTGAGATAAGAAGTTCAGAAATCTTCATGCAGCCAGTACAACTGTTCTTTTGTTACTTTTAATTTTTTCAGACTTTTTGGATTCCTCAGATTTCGAGCTCAAAACTGCCTCATAAAAACAGAAAACGTGAGGTTGCATAGCAACATAATGGAATGTAACTCTGGGTGGCTTTCCTTCAAATCACTCAATAGTAGCCTTTCTTGTAGATTCAATGTCCCTTCTGACACTGTGCGTAAAGACTCAATGTGTCTATACAATTGCGTGTGTATAACAAACAATGATACCTTGTGCACAATTATGTATGTGTATAGCGAACTATGATACCTTGTGTCGGTGGCCTAGTGGTTAAGCTCTCGGACTCGCAACCGTAAGGTCGTGGGTTCGAATCTCGTCAGGGGCCCGACGTTGTGTCCTTGGGAAAGGCACTTTGCACAAATTTTCCTCACTTCACCCAGGTGGAAATGGGTACCCGGCTATAGACAGTGAACGATCTTGTCAGTTTGGTAGTGTTTGAGCGCGTGAAATCCGCAGATTGCACTGTATGCTTCCGCGGAAGCCGAGAATGTTTCTGAGTGTTCTCAGAGGGTTTGCTGGGGTAATAATGGTTGTAAAGCGCATAGAGCATGCTCTTGAGCGTGGATATGCGCTATATAAATGCAATTATTATTATTATTATTACCTTGTACTAGTTGTACGCAATTGCATGCGTATAGCAAAGCCTGAATTTCTATGCACACAACTGCGTGCGCATAGACCCGGCCGTAAATAAATGATGTGATCTCACAGCAAGAGAGTGGGGACTCTTCATCACAACTGTGTGAAACTGAAGATATTGAATTAATGAATGAAACAAAACATGGGTTGAACATTTCAAGGGCATACCAGATACCCACAGCACACTCAGCAGTGCAGATAGAGAGAGAGCTCTTCTAGCACTGGAAAGGGTGTTGCTTTTGCTGCATGTACACTTTTTTCAATGTCTTTAAAAAAAAAATCTTTGATATCTCTCTGTCCTTTCTTTAGGTTTGTGAAGACTTCAAGGAGAACTGTCCTGATTGCATCGAGTGTGGTCTTCAGTTGGCCCGAAAAGAATACTCAGCTGTTGTCAGGCATTTTGGTTTACAGTCCGTGGAGCACTGGATCAAGTGAGTCAGTTGTTTGGAGGGAAAAGTGATAAATTTCTTCTTATTTTCCGGACAATTTATTTGGACTTTTTATAATGAACATTGATTTTCACTTTCTAAGCCATGCTCAGGGCACTGCAACTATTTCTGGTGGCGTGAGTTGGAAAAAATGACTTATTCACGATAGTGATAGTCTTTTGTAGTAGTAATGTTTGCATATTATATCATCAATGCCATTCTACGTAGAATGTCAAAATTTTTTATTTTTTTAAAATCCAGTGTTCTGTAGAGTTTGATGAGGCGTACTGATTGGCCCTAGTTCCATTCCTCTTCTTAACATGGTAACCGATTTAGATGAATTAAACATTTTGTATTAACGTAAACGTGTCCTGTATGAAATAAAAGTTTTCTGCTTTTTTAAAAAGCGATATAACATTTTGACATATGTGAAGCGTGCTGACAAAATGAGTTACTTCTCGGATTCAAGTCTTAAGGAAATAGGTACATCACGCTTATAGTATAGGTGAAGGTTTTACAATTTATAAGTATGAAATATTAAAAGGCTATAGTTAAAGAATATGGCATCAATAGAAAATTTACAAATTTGACCCTTATGTCGATTGTGGCCAATATTTCCATTTGTGGATTGCGAGAAGTAACTCATTTTGTCAGCACTCCTCACATATTTGTCAGGACGCGGTGGAATCAGGCTCCCGTCAATTTTTGTGCATTTATAGTTATTGTTTTCATCTTAAAACTTTTTTGTTCATTTGTCTTACTTTCGTTGAAAAATACTCATATTATATCATGAATAGAAGTCGAGATATTTGCGATTGAAGGATGTGTGGGTTGCCTGGTTTCAGAGGTAACATAAGCGAGAAAATGGCCACCAAAGTTTGGCGACTTCCCAATCTTGAGAGTCTTTTGAAACTGCAAATTTACAATTTTGTGCCTTAAATTAACACTTTTCACAAAAATTCACACAGAAATGGGTTTTTAAATGGACCTTAAAGGTGTTGAGTCAAAAAACAAAAAATCGATAAAAATTGCCAAATGGACAGAAACTTGTGAGTTTCTTCAATTTCATTATTTTAGCAAACGCCTGATTTCACCACAATGCCTCGCATATATTATGACAATGGTGAATGATGGTGATGATATTAACATGAGCCAGTTTGTATAAGTCTTAACCTTTCTTTTTTTCCCAGATATCGTTGGCATGAAGTAAATGATACGAAAAGGACAGCATTGAAAAGAAGTGCTCTGAACCTTATTTATGAAGTAAGTTTTACTCTTAAAGTAAGTGCAACTGTGGTGATCACTTTCATTTGGTGCTCTCATATAACATGTCATCATCTCTGGGGTCAGGACTGCTTTAATTTAATCCATAACCATGAAATATAGAAAGAATGACCTCCTCCCACCCTCACTATCTCTCTTTTCACACACTTGCTCTAAAACTAACAACACTAGATTTCTCTGAAATAGTACTTTATTCAGTGTTTCAAATCATAACATACAATTTCTTACCATGGCACAAATTTTCAGCCGTATTTTTCTACTCCACTCCTCAGGGCACCAATGACATCCTTGTCGAAGAGCAGCACATCAAGGATGCAGTGTCTCGTATTCTGGTGGAGCTCATCAAAAGAGAATGGCCACAGTTGTGGGAAAATCTCTTTGCAGATTTCACACAGCTTTGTGAAAATGGGGTTTGTGAAGCAGCTTCGTTTTCATTTTTACTTCTCAGCTGATTCAAAGTTGGTGGTAGGATAAAGGATGTTAGATGATAGGTTCTGCATCTTCCCTTTCCCTCTGTTGTATTGCCCAGTTATAAATCACTGTTATTGTTTTAGTGAACTTCTCTTTTAACTGAAACTAGCAAGTTTTTTTTTCAGAGGTCTTATGATTGTATGTGTTTTTTTTCCCACGAAGTGTGTTTAGTTGCTCTCATAATTGCTGTCATTATAGAAATGTGTATGATAAAAGAAAAGAAGGGGGAGTGTATGTCCTAAAACATGTTAAAGAAAAACCAAGGCTCAGATGTGAATTCTGATATTTAGTGTAAACTTTTTGTTTCAGCTCATTGTCTATGAAGAGAGTGAATGAGTAAACAAAAGCAAAGGGGGGCTCACGTGGCCTAGAGGTTACAAATCCAGGTAGCGGCCGAAAAATTTTCTTCTCTAAAATTGTCTCCTTTTCACTTCCTTTCCTGCTCTCAAGCAATGTTCTGTCGTCTGCTTTCGTCTCCACTTTGTGCCCCCACCCCCTCACCTCCTTTACCCCCACCTTTGGGTCCCTGACTCTTTCTGCAGCCTTTCTTCTGCTACTCCTTGGCTCCTTGCTGCTGTCTTTCAGCCACACTACTGATCTTCTGGTAGGAAATATCTCCACCTAGCCTTCTCAGACAAGGGTAAAAACTCTCAGAGGTTCCGTGTGCAATTTGCGCTCTTTAAAGGTCTCTTGGTGGTCTAAAATCGATTAGAGTAGGTTTTGGCTGCCACCCAGGCAAAATTCCAAATTTCCTACCTACTGAAAATGTTTAATGTGTCCCGTGCGCTCATATGACCGTATGTGTCCCGTGCGCTCATATGACCGTATGCAGTTGCGAGCGCCGTAAAACACTTACCGAAAAAAAAAGAAAAAGCAAAACCTGTTTGTGTGCTAATCCTCAGGAGACACAGACAGAATTGGTGCTTCAGGTTCTGCTCAGGTTGTCTGAAGACATTGTACGCTTCCAGACAGTCCCCCAACCCAGACGGAAAGATCTCCAACAGGCCCTCACTAAAGCCATGTCCTCAATCTTCTCCTTCTTCCTGTACACACTTAATGGCAGCTTGGAAAAGTACAGAGCTAAGGTTGGTGAAAGTTTCTTGATGTTTTAGGGACAATGTGTTACTCAATTGCACTGGTTCTTAACCTTTTTCGAGGTACTGGATCCTGCAAGTTTCACATATTATGTGCATTAACCGAACCGCTCAAGTTGGGTGAATGAAACAGGGACACAAACATACAGTGGGTATGTGTGTGTGTGTCTTGACCTCCCCTGAACACTAAGACTGATTCATTGAATCCCTATTGTTTGGTCTAACCCAGTTTAATAACCACTACTGAATAATACATTTGAGGGGACAGGAGTGTGTGAAGTTGTATTGGTGATTTCATTTTGTAATTTTTCTAAGCTGGCACATTAACTTTTAATCCATATTATATACATTTTTGGGGTTTTGTTTTTCTCTCTGATGGCTTCTTTGACAGTTTCTTTCCACCATAGTGTTTTCTTCACCGGGCCTATGCCTGTATTCATTCCTTATATATTTGATAAAAGTAACTGTTGTTGTGCTCTTGAAGCCTGTCATTGTTTCTTAAAGATTTAATGCATCCAAATCTAGATTCTACCCAGTCTTTGGTTTATCCCTCTCTGGAATATTATATTTATTTGTTCCGTTCACCACAGACTGACGAGGAGAGAGAAAAGGCTTGCCGTATCTGCCGCGCTATCCTTGAGACCCTCACAGGCTTTGTGGAGTGGGTTCCCATCACTCACATCACAGACTCGGGACTCCTGCCGCTGATCTGCTCTCTCTTGCTGGACGAGAAACTGTGCCTGGCTGCTTCTGAGTGCCTGCTGCTCATTGTGGGCAGAAAGGTGAGATACCATCTGCTACCGGTGTGGTCTCCCAGAAGTTTGGGACACACTACACATTTTGTATCTCTTTTTTTTTTAGTAAATAGATCCCTCTTATATATGTGATCTTAACATTTCTTCTTTTTTTGTTTGTTTGTTGCATTTTAGCTTGATGTAGGCCAACTGATGGTGGCTATATGGATTTTCTTAGAGCTGATGAAGCCACACGCCCTCTCTATGTGTTCAGATTATATGAATCTGAGATAAGCCAGTGACATATGAGCATTGCCAAAACGTGAGACTCTTGAGACTCAGTGGTTTCAAAAAAAATTTTCTTACCAATTTGACTTCTTTTTCTGTCAGTCACAGATTGATATTTAGTGCTCATATTCCTAGAGTATCAGAGCAAGGAGATGTGGGGTTTGGAGATATGGGTCTATTGGTTTGGCAACCACTGTATTCCTTGTTTGTAACAGTGATGACAAAAACAGTTAAGCAGCAAGGCAAATTATGGACTTTAAATTCCATTTGTTTAGTAGACAAAGACTTTGTACACTATGAACACCATTTATAATGGTAATATAAATGACAAGCTTTGTGACAATGACGTAGTGCTCAGAACATGTCATCATTGTTATGTACAAGAAAGGACACACATTGGACATTATCATTGACAACACATCACAATAGTGAAAGGCTGTACACATACAGTTATCAAAGCCTCAGTACCAGAAAAACACATGTGTAAAACAATTTTAAAACTGATATGAGGCAAAAGCACAAAATCAATGGAGCTGACTTGTACATAACAGTGATGACAAACATGACTTGTACATAGCAATGATGACACAATGTATAGGAAAAGACAAAGTCATGCCTCCAGAGAGAAATGCGCACTCTAAGAATAAAAAAAAAAAACCAGGAGAGGTTTCTTTTGCTTTGAAACTGATATCAGGTCATATCAAAGACAGTGGACGATCACAATTATGTGGTTATTTATGACAAACAGTACTCGTACATAACAGTGATGACAAAACATACTAGGAAAAGGTAAAATCATGCCTACAAAGAACAAATTTGCACTATGAGATGCACAGATCAATAAAGGCGTATTTTGCTTCTAAATGAATCTTGCATGTATGAAATATATGTTGAAAACTTATTGATATTAGCAATGATGACAAATATTACTTGTACATAACAATGATGACACAATGTATTGGAAAAAGGCATATCATGCCAACAAAGAAAAAATCTGTACTTTTGAGTGAGACAGATGAACAAGGACATGTTTTTTTATTTGTTTGAGTAAAGAGAGCACACATGATTTTAAAAATGTTTGCTCTTAGGACAATGTAATTTCTAGTACGTCAGTCAGTCTTGTACGGCTGCATGACGACACCCCAAATGTCATCACTAAGCCCAAAAGCTAAATCTATAGCCTTAGAAATGACCCATCTCTCGAAGTTTGGTCACACATCACACTCTTGTTCCAGGAATCCAGTGTAAACACCGCAATTTCACTAAAATATTCAACAATGTAGCTTAAAAACATGCAAAACAGTCCTG